CAGGGGTCTCCACACAGCTGCTCCAGCACCCAGGGCTGCATCTGGGTAGGTCCATGTGGCTTCTCCTTGGGGATTTCTTGCAGGAAGTCAGCTTTGCAAACTGAAACAGGGAACTGCTAAAGCAGATGCACCTTGCATCACAAAGCAAGAGACCCAAGAACTAGAAAGGCGAGGCTCACTGAGCCATTTATCCCTCCGCCCTTCAATTAATCCCACATGTGCTTATCGGCCAGGTTGGCACAATAAACTAACTCAGGGCTGCAAAAGCCATCCAGGTAGTGGAGTGGAAAATGAAGTACATGATAAAACCATCCACTACTAGGTCATATAGACAGAGGGCATTTAGCATCAGCCACCTAAACGTTCTTTCAAAGGTTTCCCACAGGTCAGGCCGAGAGAGCAGGGCGGCCCACCCAGAGCCCAAATGTGTAATCTGAAGGAGGGGAGCAGACTCTCTCTTTACCTGACAAACCAAGCATTTCCCAGTATTAAATTCCCCACTCATCAGGCAGACGGGGGCTGAGCGAGGCTTCGCTTGAGGAATGCAAGGGTAAAAATGTGGTCTTCCTTGGAAACGGGGGCAATGGAAACTCATGTAAATCCATTGAGGCTTATTCACGCACATTATTTTTGTTCAATGGGACGGTATTGAATCTAGCCTTTGGCACTTGCTCCATGTGGCAACACCCAAACACACTTCACCTGTGAGTTTTAGTGTCCTCACCTAAAAACCTGGACAATAAGACGGGCCCCTGGCATTGTGATAGGATTAAACTGATATGAAATAAGGCATATGAGAAGCACCTGGCAAAGCCTGGAACATCTTGGTACCCAATTACAATATGGTCTAATTATAATAGTAGTTGTGGCGACACTGTTGTTAGCAGCAGTAATTTGTAACAGCAATCAGTATTTCATCCACACTGCAAGGTTAGGGAGACCTGGCGGTATACCAGTTACACATTGGGTTGCTATCTTCAAGGTCAGCAGTTTGAAACCACCAGCTGCTCTGTGGGAGAGAGATGAGGCTTTCTACTCTCTTGAATAGCTACAGTCTCAGAAACCCACAGGGGCAGTTTTACCCTGACCTGTGGAGTGGCTGTGAGTTTGGATTTTGTTGTGGCTGTTTGCAAGATCGAGAAATAAATACAGGAAAACAAATATCCCCAAGGACACCGTGCCCACTCTCAGGACACAGGCTAAGAATGATCGTGTCAGCAGCCTACACCTGTGACCACAGGGCCTGGAGGACTGGCTCTAGGGAGAGAAGACATTCCCAGTTCCAAGACAGAGATAAAACCCAATACGCATTCCCCAGCTAGAAAGAGTTCTCTCCACAACTGCCCTCCTTTACGATTGTAAAGTAAAGCTGTCATTTATGGGCAAGGCACCTGGCTTCTCCTTACTCTAAAGCAGCGGTTCTCAACCTGTGGGTCACAACCCCTTTGGGGGTCGAATGACCCTTTCACAGGGGTGGCCTAAGACCATTGGAAAACACATAATATTTTACAATATATGATTACATATTATTTTGGGATTCATCACTACGCTTTAATTATGTTCAATTTGTAACAATGAAAGTACATCCTGCATATCAGATATTTACATTGTGATTCAAAGCTGTAGCAAAATGGCAGTGATGAAGTAGCAATGAAAATGATTTTATGGTTGGGGGGCGGGTCACCACAACATGAGGAACTGTATTAAAGGGCCGCGGCACTAGGAAGGTTGAGAACCACTGCTCTAAAGGATGCCGATGTCCAAGAGCAGTCAAGCTTCCTGTTGTCTTAGCAAACTAAGGGTCAGCTTCTCCTTCGTCTCTTAATTGCCCGGTACTTATAGTGAAGTATCCTCCCTTTCCCTGTATATACTTCCCTAGGAAACAGGTTCATCGCATGTACCTTCTATCAGTTACTTCCTACACATGCCTGTTTCTCACATATACTGCTAACATTATGCTTATCTCTAAAAGCATCCGATGCGGCTGTTTACGATTCTTTTATTTTATTTCTTTATTTTTAATAAATCATTTTATGGAGGCCTCTTACCGCTATTCTTTTTTTAAATTATTTTTTCTTTCTTTCTTTTTGATGACGAGTGATTGACACACCAGTTGACACCATTGTTCACTTGCCTGCCAGATACTTCCTTTGAGCTGTTCTCCTGAAAGAACTCGGGAAAGTTCAGATTCACACTTTGCCCAATCTATTGTACCTGTGCCCAATGAAGGCTTGCGTGTCTCACCACTAGGTATACTCTCTGAAAAATAAACTAGCTCTCTCCTGATTCCCTTATCAGGATGGAGCCCTGTTGTCTATTGACTTTTTCTTCCTTAATTGTATATGCCCCTCCTAAAGACCCGTTTGACAGGGGGTGGGATGGGGTGGGGGCTGGATCCTACCCAAACGTGACATACAGTTGATTCTAATAAGATGTCTGAGTGAGCCAATAAAAGGAGAAACCAGAACCAGGATGAACGGTGTGAAGGTCTCACTGCAGTCTGAAATGATACAGGGACCTGTACGTCAGCAGGAAGTTGCTTGGATCATAACTGGGCACAGGGGAGTGTCCTGGAGGCAAAGGCCGACTGCTCTTAGGTCAAGGGGCAGAGTGGCAATGTGGACTTAAAGGAGGGGATGCTGACTACCAGTAACCAAGGTTGTGTTGGGCTCCAACATGTTGAGGTCCCTCCAGGTCCTCGCTTGTCCTGGAGAGCCTGATCAGGCGTGGCCCAGAAGTCCAGGCTCCCAGCTAATTCCAACGTGTCTTTGTTATGTGCTGGCAATCGATTGTCTACGTGCCTAATGAAGGCTTGCGTGTCTTTGAACTCAGAGTGGCCCCGTATACAAGAGAACAGAGCACTGACCTATCTTGTACCATCCTCTCAGTCATTTCTCATTTGAGCCTGATTGCAATCACTGTGGCTTGCCACTGCAGTGTTGCATCCCGGCAGCTACTGTGTCATCTTATTGAGGGCCTTCTACTTTACCAAGGAGGCTATCCGTCTCCAAGATGATAACATGTCCTTATCCCCAGACATTGGGAAGCGCTTAGCAACCTCCCAGCCTGTATCACTGTGCTGACCTGGCCCCACTGAACCTCCGCAGGGCTGGGCACGCAGTCCATGGCATAGAAAGAGTTGAGGGGCTTGCCTCAACTGGATGGATGGAGGAGCCTTCCATCCCAGCACTAACCGCCTGCTGTCTATAAACAACAGAGCTGGAAAAGATGAGGAAGAACGAAGTCCCCGTGTCATGCCAAAGGCCCAAAGTGAGGCGGGGTGCCTAGAGAGCCGGGGTGAGAAGGGAAACTCAGAGGTTCAGCAAGCGAATGTCCAGATGGATCAGTGAGCTTGGAAGAGCCAGGGCCCATGGAGGGAAAGAAGAAGCTATGGATGCCTACAGCTTTAATAGCCACAAATCAATTTTGTCGCGGGAAGTTACAATCATCTATAGGCCAGGTGGATGTTCAAGACGGAAGTTGAAAGGGAAGGTAGGGCCGTGCCTCTCCTGTGACTTCATCAGCCTACTCAAAACTCGCAGATGGTCAGGCGGTACTGCAGGCAGTTTCTGTCATTCCACTGCCCATTGGTGTACATCTCCACGCACCTCTCTGTGCCCATGCCCTTGGGCTCCCCTGGGTACCAGTTGGTATAATTCACGGGAGTCCTGTCCAGGTCGTTGAACTCTCCAGGGGTGGTGCCCTCAGTCAGGCCCAGGTAAGCGTATGAGTTGTGCTTCTTCACAAGGCTCGCAATGGCTGCGTTCTCTTCTGGGCTCCTCGGGACAGCAATTTGGCCTCCTGCCTTGGCACATGTCTCTCGAATGGCTTCAAAGTCGACTGACTGCCCATTGGTGGAGAAGATCTTCTCTCCCACTTTCAGCAGGAAGCCCTTCAGGCTGAGGACTGAGAGCAAGGGGCCAGGTCATGCCACTGGCTGCTCCTATCTCTACATCCTGGCTCCCCAACCCAGCTGTCTGCTTGCTCTCCAGTCTCTTCCCCTCTGCCTCTCTGTAGCCCCCTTCTCTCTTCTAATTGCAGTCTTTATAACTTCCCTTCTATGCGCTCCTCCATTTGTTTATAATCCATTCATCCATTTAGCCAATCTTGGGGGCTCCAAGTAGTCCGTGGAAAAATGTCATTAGCTTTGAATATCCTCCCCCCACCCCCACAAGATTTTTAAAGTCAACTCAGACATATTGACTGCCCTATTCTATAGGAATTCTATAGAAAGCATGAAAGACAGGCGTAGGGAACATCTGCTTCCCAGAACTTCGAGAGTTCTATCTACCCCATCTCCTTCTGCGCCTGCATGTCCACACCTATTTTTCACATCCCTAGTTCTGGAGGCAGGTACCGTGGAGGAGAATTGTGGGAAAGCCCCCAACGGTCGAAGGCCTCCAGGGACCCACTTACTTCCCACTGACTGCAGGATCTGATGTCTGAGGTCATGGAGGGTGCTTTGGAGTTCCTCGTCGAGATAAGCTGGAAGCCCTGCAGAGAAACCCCACCCAGGGTGAGGGTTAGCCTGTCCCACTCGCAGGCCTGGCCCTCTGCCCTTTAATGGTCTGTCCTCACTCCCTGGCCTCCAGCTTATCAGACTAGAAATGTTTCCACACTCCCAACAGACCCACCCTTTCTGGCAGTTTTATGCCTATAGAACACCCCGCTCTCCCTACCTTGCTTTTTCTTGACACCACCCTCAACTGGCTGGCTGATGATCTCACTTGGGGGAGGGGGGGGATGGTTCTCCTGCTACTGGGTAGAGTCCCTCCCCCTCCCCTTCCCCATCCAATATGGTACTCTCTACCTCTCTTGATGATTACTCAAGTGTGTAGGAGGTCCCCTCTGCCTGCAGGGCACCCAACCATCCGATCAGCTGGAACTCCCAGTCCAGGCAAGCCCTTTACTCTTTCTGAATGGGCCCAGGAAACGCTCCCCCTCTTTCTGCACACATGCTTCCTTCCTCTCTAGAGCAGGCACAAGAGGCAGCACTCTTCCATGGGCAACTGGTCCCACTCCCCAGATAGCCCTGGCTACTCGAGCTCCTTTGCCTCTTATTTGGATGACCTGCTCCTTGGGGACCTCCCATTGACTGTTGGGTGGCCATGGCTTTTGCTGAATGCGATCCCGGGCGTTGGGCAGCCACGTAACAACGCCACCACTGGCTGATCACCCCAACCCTACTCACCTGGGGGACCCCTTGCTCCAGGGTCTCCTTTGTCTCCATGCTCTCCAGGGGCACCAGGGGCTCCAATCAGTCCATCACGTCCAGGCAGGCCCGGCATTCCTCCAGGGGGACCCATGGGGCCTGCAGGGAAGAGAGGCCATGGACATGTGGGTTAGAGTAAATAAAGACCACTGCAATGTCCAAGTCCAAAACGTGAAGTCGTTATGATAGCAGGCCAGCCCAGACGGCTGGGGGCCGTCAAAGGACCGGCCTACCACTGTGCAGTCCGGGTGGTCCTTTGGCTGAGCCTGCTATATCATTCAGGGTGTAAATGGGAGACAAAAAGCAGAAAAAGCAAGTTAAAAGTGCATATATCACCCAGTCAGCGGTATTCACAGAAGCAGCAATAGTGTGGACTTCAGGACGGTTTTCTGGCACCCTGTTTTATGACTCTTCCCTGAATTTTGTCTGTAGCCGAGCCTCCCTGGGAAGGGAAGACTGAACACCCCTGCCCTGGGGAGAGTGACTTACTGGGTCTTCCTGATAAGGAGAGGGCGTAAAACAAGGTTTTGCCGGAAGGCCAATTACCCACCAACACTCCCTTCGGATGGTGATCAAACACAGATTGCTCTGGACAGGACAAAGGCCGATCAGGGCAGGACTCCTCAGCCAGGCTTTTGAAGATGAAAGGAGGGGGTGAGGGCAGGGTTTCTTGAGGCTGAAGAATTTTGTGGCAATTGTAACTTAGCCTGAGCGTGTCTACTTGAACGATGTGGTGTATTTCCCTCACAGTTTGGTAGAGATGGTTGTCCAAAGACCTCCATTGCTGCTGGGCTGATACCTGTTTTCCTTGGGCACGTTGAGAGCAGACTTTTCAGGGCTGCTCCAACCTAAGGGCCCCAGGAAGCACCCACCATGTCCTGCCACTTAGATGTCCTTCAGACACATGTTGCAGGCCAAGCGTGGAGCCCACAGTCCAGGGTCCTGGGTGGAGGAGCTTCCTGAAGCTTGGTCCTCCTCCTCAGTTAAGGATCTCTTTAGCCCATTACCTGGAGGTCCAGGGTCTCCCTTGGTACCATCTCTTCCATCTCTGCCTGGAAGGCCATGGGATCCGGGGGTTCCAGGGAGACCAGGGCTCCCAACACAAATGTCCTGTACATCACACAGGGTCCCCGACACAACCAGCAAGATGAGGCCCACGGCCAAAGAGCACAGCCACATGGCTCCTCCCCCACAGCTTGTCCTACAGAAGGAAGGAGATGGGCTCAGCTGAAACATCACGCTCCCCGACACCAGGGGTGTGGGATAATCTGAGGACTGGAGAAGACACAGAAAGGAATCTGGGGAGACCGTTCTGAGGAACGTCCATCATCACGGGGCTTCTGAAATGATGTCGCACCCCTTGCACATCACACCTCTTAGGACTTCGCGGTCTGACTGCTTAACCCACTTCACTACTCCTGATGTCAGCTGAATCTTCCAGGTGTGGCGACGCTCTTGATCCAGGTCCCCCCACCCCCACCACCCCCATCCCCAGATTGTTGGGAGGATGGATGGGGCCACTCAGTCATGGACTCTGTTTCTCAGGAATTGGAGCCTTGAAAGTAAAGGGAAACAACCTAGGCCCAATACCTGGGACCCTGCCAAGGGTGGGAAGCCCCCTTTCCTCTGATTGGCATTCCCTATCCCCCTACCCCCCAGCCCGCAGACACTGTTAAACCTCAATGTTAAACCTGGTGAGAAGCATGGCAGGGGACAAGTACACTTTCATGCCCGTCTTGCACTCAGTGGCGATTCAGCGGAGACTCTTCCTTCCTGCCTGGGCCCCAAGCAAGGCTATGGCTGCCGAAATGGTCGTCATTGTCTGCAGCACGGTGCTCTGGGGAGGACTCAAGACAGGGGGGATCCAAGGACCGAGGGGACAAGAACAAACTCACCCACACGGAGAGCCTCAGGTGACTGGGTCTGAGGGAGGTGTGGGAAGCACCATTTATAGGACTAGGGAGCCACGAGGCACTCTCCCCACCCTGTCACAAGATCCTTTACTTTGGGGAGGGCCAGCCAGGAAGTGCCACTCAGTTTATAGTGCTCAATTCCTCACCGGGCACTCAGGCTGGAGTGGGACCGAGCATCCTTGAGGGGAGCTCAAGACTTACTATCAGGAAGTGCAGGTCTATCAGAGGGGAAATTTCACATAGGTTGTCGGCTATCCACCGTGCCCCAGCCCTGGGTGTAGCTCTCCAGCAGTCAAAGATTAGGGGCATTATACATACACGGATGGGGCAGATCCTTGAGGAAGCCCGGTCCCTCGTGGACCATTGTGCCCAACTCTTGGCTGGTGACAAGTCCCAGGAACACAGATTCCCTGATACTACCCATGAAGAGAATAAGTCCAGGGGCAGGCTCTTTTTCAGGAGCACAAAGAGACAGACCAGGGACACCCAAGGATATCTCCGTGTGACTTCTTGTGGCCCTTCGCGCTCCAGAGCCTCCTTAGCTTCTAAAAGAGTCCATTGTTGTTCCTGGTTTGTTCTAGAAAATGTAGAGCCCACAGCTCATGGAAGGTCAGTCTAACCTGGAGCACCCTGCTCTGTCCTGGCACCTGACTGAGCACCGGACTGCAGGCCTACTGGCCCCTGCCCCTGGAGCTTAAAGCTGAGTTGGTGGGTTCTGGCGCCATCATGGCTGGAGGCTCCACTTTCCTCTGCCCTGCAGGTTTAGATGTTGGGAGATAAGGCAGTTGCAGGAAAGTCACAGGAGAGCAATAGTTTCTGTCTTTGGCCTTGGCTGATGCCTGATAACCTGATGATAAATGATTTCAGAAAGTAATGGAGTGACACAGGAAACCCTAATGCAGTGGTTCTCAACCGTCCTAATGTGGACCCACAGGTTGAGAAGCGCTGCCCTAATGGATAACTGTCCTTATTCAAGCTACCAGGTTAGAAGGGAATCCCTAATTTCAGACATAGTAACAAAGGGGACCAAGGGGGGGAAGCACCTCCATGTTTACTTGTACTATACCACATACTATACACTATATACCATACTCACTGCCATCAAACCAATTCCAAATAATAGCAACCCTATAGAACAAAGAAGAACTGTCCCTGTGGGTTTGGGAGACTAAATCTTTATGGGAGTAGAAAGCCCCATCTTTCCCCTGCAGGCTGCATGTTTACTTGTAAGTGGTTGGAAATTTCTTTGAGATTTTTGAAGAAAAGTATATTTTTTGGAGCGTAAGAGCTCAGCTAAGGTGGCCTCACTACAGGGACAAGGGACCATTCAGTTCTTATTTGGAGTCTGTCTTTAGCTGCCCTGCTGCCTGTCCCAGACAGCCTCGGTTTTAATTTTTAAGATCATTATTTTCAGACAATATGAAACGACTGCAGGGTAGAGGTAGCTCCATCAGAGAGAACTCTGTGTGTGTGTGTGTGTGTGTGTGTGTGTGTGTGTAGCATTCCTGTTGATGTTGTGGGTTGTGTTTTGAGTTGCTAACTACAAGATTCTCAGTTCGAGTCCACCAGCCTCTCCTCAGGTGAAAGGTGAGACTGTCTGCTCCTATACAGACGTACAGTCTTGGAAACCCTGTAAACGTTCACTCTGAGCCAGAAAGGAGTAGATGGCAGTGGGTTTGGGGTTGTTTGCGGAGCTGTGTGTGTGTGCGTTGCAGGGTGAACACAGGTGGTGGGATACAAACACAAGGCTGCTGGGCAGTTGTTGACGGACTTAGGAGGAAGACCGTAGGGATGCTCAGGACCATGTGGAAAGTGAGGGGAAGTTTAGACCTAGAAATCAGATGCAGCGGAGCTTATCTGCTTACTCTAAATCTTCTCACTGTGCAGACTTATAATTATGTAAACCTATACACAATTCTTGGATTAATATTTGTGCCAGGCGGGATTTTCTAGAGAAACAAAACCAGTGGCATTTATACATGTATAAGAAAGAATTTGATATCAAGGAAACAGCCCAGCCCAGTCTGTTGGTGAGAAGTTTACTGGAAACCCCTCGAGTTTATGCAGTTGCTGGCTGGTGAAACATGAAGGTGGAGCAGGAAGCTAGGAGACTTTTTCTAGTGGGAGACACCCTCCCTTATTCCATTGTTGTTAACACAAATTCAGTATCCCCTAAGCAAAGACCTCCCCCACCCCCCTCCGCCGCTGCCTGCTGAAAGTGAAGAAGATTTGAAATACTTGCTGGTAAAGATCAAGGATTATAGTCTTCAGCGGGGATTGCAATTAAATGTACAGAAAACAAACGTTCTCACAACGGGAGCAGTAGGTGACATCACGATAAATAGAGACAAGATTGAAGTTGTCAAGGGTTGTGTCTGCTTGGAGTCACAATCAATGCCAATAGAAGCAGTAGTCAAGAAATCAAACAACACATTGCATTGGGCAAATCTGCTGCACAAGACCTCTTTAAAATGTTAAAGAGCAAAGATGTTGCTTTGAGGACTGAGATGAGCCTGACCCAAACCCGGGTATTTTCAAATACCTCACCTGCATGGGAAAGGTGCATTTGAACGGATACATTTGAATCATGGTATTGATGAAGAATATGTAAAGTACCACGGGCTCCTCCAGGAAGAACAAAGGAGTCTGTCTTAGAAGAAGTAGTCAGAAGGCTCCTTAGATGAGAGGATGGTGGGACTTCCACCATTAGGCAAGAACAATCCATGGAAAAGGACATCATGTTTGGTAAAGTAGAGAGGGTTAGTGACAAACAGGATGACCATCAATAAGATGAACGGACACCGTGGCTGTAAGATGGCTTGAGGAGAAGTTGCGAGAAGAGTGTAGAGTGTTCATTCTATGGCATGGGGGGTGCTCTGAGGTGGAGTTGATTCAACAGAACCTAACCAGGGCAGCAATGTATCTCACAAGTGAGTGGCTCAAGATTCACCATACCCTGACACGGCCTCATGAATATAATAACGAAAACCAGATTCCCGAATGGGATCACATACATAGGTGTAGTGACTAAGCCTTACTGGGCACAACTTGGAGGGACATAATCCCTATCTTGTGTGTTTCCTATCTTCTTCAGTGGTTTTCTTATAAAAAAGCAATGAATTTTGTTTAATGACTTTTATGTATCCATGAAGGTGACCAGGGGACTGTTTGTTGTTGTTGTTCTGTACATGTAGTGTGGACTACATGGTTACTTTTCTAATATTGAACCACCTTTGCATTCCTTCAATAATTCCCACTTGGTCATGATATGGAATGCTTTCTATATGTGGTTTTCCTAGTATATTGCTGGGTATTTTTGTGTCTATATTCTTTAGGGATACTGGTCTGCATTTTTCCTTCGTGGGCTGTTTTTGTTTGGTTTTGCCTTCAGGGCAATTCTTATCTGATAGAATGAATTAGGAAGTGTTCCTCTCTTTCCCATTTCTTGGAAGAGGTTAAGTAAGATGAAGTCATACTTGTATAAATATTTGTCTTTAAACTCTTTGAGTACGCTTAATTCTGTTGCTTTAAAGTCTTGGTTGAGTGATTCTGTTATTGTCCTTCCTTGGGGACACTTTCTGCCCCTCTAACACTTGACTAGACACCATTTACACAAACAATGGGGGTTAGCGATAGGGCAAAACTTTTAATAACACTTATTCTCAAAGGCAGCGTCATGCCCAGCAGATGAATACGTGTCATTAAAAAGCAAGGAGGGCATTAAAATAGTAAACATGTGGTAGTCCCAGGCCACCATTCATTTGGCATCCTCAAAGCAAGAAATCCAGAGCAACGTTCAATGACAGTCAATTCCATGACCTTGGGAGAGCAGCCATCTGCTCCTTCTCACACTACAGTGTTGCAGCCTTAAGTCCAAGGAGATGTGGGTTCCTTATATCTGTTACAGGTAGGTTCAAGGAAAAGCCCAGTTTGCATAGTGTGGTTTCCACATTGAACACTGTAGTGTGGCCTAGGAAGGATGTTGTGCACCTTGAAAGGACAGTCCTGGGCCAGTAAGGGCTGGATAGAAACTAAGTCAAAGGTATCCAATTAGGAACATAGTACCATGCATATTCTACCCTCAGTTTCTGAAGAAGTATTGTTAAGCATTTTTTCCTGATAGATGGTATTTCTCCCAGTTTACCCACCAACAGAATTGTATCTGCTTTCACTGAGATATACATGCCTTCTCCCTGCCATCTGGACTTGAATTTCCAGTAAGTTGCACAAATCACTCTTGTAGGAGTGTCTGTTGGTTTGGAGTGA